CAGGGAGCCGGAGGGAAGGCCCAGGAGGAACCCATATTCACTGTGAACAGCTGCCCTTGACCCCAAAGGAATGGAGCTGGACTCTGATATCCGTGGGTCCCTTCCCAGGTAAGGGGGTGCAGCTTGAATAGGAGAAAATCAGCCTGTGGGATTTCTGTTCTTAAATCTGTTTAGAGGCAGCTGGGTGACTCAGTCAGTGAAGCATCCAACTTGATTTCATCTCAGGTTCATGAACTCAAGCCCCGCATCAGGCTGTATGCTGTGTGGCACCTGCTTGGGACCCTCTCTCCCTCCCCTCCCCCTCTCCCTCCCTCTTTCTCTGCCCTTCCCGCATTCTCTCTCTCAAAAGAAATACACTTTATTTAAAAAAAATAAATCAATCTGTTTAACCCTATATAATGAAACCAGCTGGACAGCATGAAGCCGTGGGTTGTGAGAGCAGAAGGGGGCGTGCCTGAGATCTGAACCCCAGATCTCGAGGAAGTGAACCTTCTGCATAACGGTTGTGGGTTAAAAGATATGCAGCGGGAGAGCTCTGCCTGGTGAAGGAGTAAGATGAGGGAGACACTGGGGCGCCTGGGTGGCTCAGTCGGCTAAGCGTCCTACTTCAGCTCAGGTCATGGTCTCATAGTTCGTGGGTTCGAGCCCCGCGTCGGGCTCTGTGCTGACAGCTAGTTCGGAGCCTGGAGCCTGCTTCAGATTCTGTGTCTCCCTCTCTCTGACCCTCCCCTGCTCATGCTGTCTCTCTCTCTCTCAAAAATAAATAAAATATTTAAAAAAAAAAAGATGAGGGCGGCATTGTCTGCAGAGAATTTTAAAACGTTAGCAAAACCATCTAAAAGCTGGTCTGTTTTTCACTATAGCCTTGCACTGGCAATTCTTAAGTAACGTTCCTGATCCAATATTCTGCCCCGAATAATCTTTTGTTGGTCTAAGTTCTAGACACCTGTGCTTACTGTTGAGTTTAGCACTATACACTCAAGCCTATATTAGCACATTCTTATTCTTTATCCTTTAAAAAAATGCTGTCTTCCCCTTGGAAGTTAACTTGCCACATGCCTTTGTTTCCAAATAGCGTGTGAGAAGCAAACAATGGGAGCCCTTGTAGACGGAGATGCGAAGTTGAGAGGCTTCAATTCTGCTGTCGTGTGGAACCACTCAAAAATATTTGCAAACTGGCAGAATCCACCTTGAACAAAGCACACAACACTTTAAAATGATTCCTTGAGATCAGTGCAAACAAACTGTGGAGAGGGCTATTACTCCTGGGGACAAAAAAGTGAGGAAATAGAAAAAAGAATCAAATGTAAGGAAGAAACGTTAGGAAAAGCGACCACAAGCGCTGGCCTGATGAAATTCAAAGGGCAGTGTTTGCAGCCCGAATCACTTTCTCTAGGAATTGGACCAGAATGCGACGGCTCAGACAAGCCCCTATTTGCTGTCTTTTAGATACTCCTCTGATTTTTGCACATGTAAAACTTGAGACCCAAATACAAATAGAAATTTGTGATAAATTTGCTGGTGATGGGTGTTTAGTGAGAGTTTTTCCACAGTGAAGACACTTGAAAGCTGCTAGAATTGGTCCTGAAGAAACAAAGATGTGAACTGGAGGTATTACCCTTTCTAGAATTTGCTGTGGTATGGGATTGGTATCCATCAAATTTATCTTTAGGCTTAAAGCTTTCCCTCACTACTTATATGTCTCTTGTTACAGGGGAAAGAAAACTTCAGTCTATGTCAGCTATACTTTAATTTTTAAAAAGAGAAAACTTTAGCAGTTAAATAAAAGATCTTCCCCGATGAACTACGTGACACGTTGGCAAATCTGGCTGCATGCCTTTTGAAGGGGACTGAATTCAGGATCAATTATGGTGAAACTATTGTCAAATGTGTAGAAGTCTCAAAAACAAAAACTGTAATGTTCTATTTGTTACCAACATGTAGGCAAAAGTCTCCCTTTTCTTAGAAAAAAAATGTCTTTACTCTCCGCCCCCTTTTTGGTAATGTACTATTATTTACTTATTCAACTTCCATGATTATGTATGTGAAGTGTAATAAAAGAAAATTTTCATTCCCTGCCTTTCTTTCCCTGCCGTGACTGATTTTTCTTTAAATTTTTTTTAATGTTTTATTTATTTCTAGGAGAGAGAGAGAGAGAGAGAGACAGCATGAGCAGGGGAGGGTCAGAGAGAGAGGGAGTCACAGACTGAAACAGGCTCCAGGCTCTGAGCTGGCAGTCAGCACAGAGCCCGACGTGGGGCTCGAACCCAGGAACCGTGAGATCATGACCTAAGCGAAAGTCGGACACTGAACCGACTAAGCCACCCAGGCGCCCTGACTGATTTTTCTTTAAATTCATGCTATTATTCAACTCACTGTGTGGAGGGTAGGGGAGTTGTTAAAAAGAATCCACTCTAGGTTTGAAATACAAGAGGCCGGTGATGGCACAGTCACATAGCATTCTGGGAGTTTCTGTCCTGTAAAGGTAATACTCACTCACTCCTTCAGAGAGAATAACAACATATAATTTTGTAATAACAAGGAGAAAATAACAATTTATAATTTGCAACAATAGCACCAACACTGATACTTAACATTTTTCCAGTGACTTGATTACACAGCAGATATTTGCATCTGCTTCTCTTCTGCCCAAAGGGAGGGGGGGCCAAATCCTGTTGGGATGCGGGTACCTTGATTCTGGGGGGAAATGTCAGCTTCTACTCAGGGACTCTTATTTCAACCGAGGGCCAGCCTGAGGAAGGACTGGGAAATCTGTAGCCCCGTAGCCTTCCTTCTGCTCTCGTTACAGGGGAAAGCATGTAACATTCCATGCTCTCTTCCCCTGGCTCCTTCTCAAACCTTATCCATTAGAGGCTGAGTGCAGAAAGCAAAGGTCTTGCTTCCTGTAAACATAGCACTTAGCACAGTAGCTGCCCTGCAGGCATCAAGGCTATGGCTTCTAGGGGTGGATGGTCTAGAGATAGAATTTTAGGCATCGGCCACCAGTGGAGTGGAGAGGAGTTTTAGGGGCAACCAGTTGCCCCTTTTGAAACACCTACTCTGCGATTGGTAGGTGGCTTAAAGAACTTCATAGTTGGTAGATGGCTCTGGCCTTCCCACGGGGCGCCCACGTTAAACTCTAATGAGACTTTTGATCTGAGCGCCCACTCTCAAACGGTTGCAGTGGGAAGGACTGTGAGGCTTGGTCCCTGCCCCCTGAGAGCAAAGGCTGAGATTGATGAAGAGCCCCTTCCTCGAAGAGAGAGCCCAGAACGCTGGCTCAGAGGTTCCATACTTGCTATTCCTGTTTTGCCTCTCAGCTGTCAAAGCCAGGCGTCTGTCCCACATCCTAAGGCCACCCTTTCCTTACAAGTTTGACAAAGGAGTAGAATAAAAATCTGGATGCTTTGGCAAATGCAAGTATACATTTGGCTCGTTTGAAGTCACATCATGTTTTCCTTGAGCTAGGGTCATAATCCGAGAGGTGGGGGCCGGGCCAAATTTTGAAGAGACACTTGGCAACCTTAACAACTGGCAAAGAGGCAAGAAATTGGTAAACAATGTGTTAAAAATATGCCAAATGCCAAGCATTTTGTATTTCATCTCTAATGTTTGTTTATGGATATTTGCTGCCATTTTTCAGGAATTCCAGTAGCTGGTACCCAACGATTGCAAACCTCCACCTGTTACTGAGAGGAGCGTTTGGAGATACACTTGTGCCTCCAGCCTCCTGGAGAGGGTGAAGAGCAGAGGCGTTGGGGGCGGAGGGTGACCTCAAGGACCCCAGAAGATCCCTTCCTTCCAAAGCACTTGCACCACCTTCTGGGTGGTGAATCAATGAGGAAAAATCCTGCCTAGGGAGAGAGAGAGAGAACAGTTTACAAATGTTTGTTGACTTAAAGTTGCTGGTGATCAATTTTTTTTCCCTGAGATCAAGTTTTGATGGAGGAAAAGAAGGAAGAAAGATGGGAGACTATAACTTTGTTTTATTTATTTGTTTGTTTGTTTTCAGAGACAGCGCAGTGGGGTAGAGACACAGAGAAGGAGAGACAGAATCCCACGCAGGCTCCACACCATGAGCGCAGAGCCTGATGTGGGACTCGGACTCACAAACTGTGAGATCGTGACCTGAGCTGAGATCAAGAGTCAGACACTTCACTGATTGTGCCAGGGGGAGAGGAGAGAAAGGGATATAGGAGAAGAAAGGGAAGGCACCCTATATCAGGGTCATCCATTGCCCAATGTCCTGGGGTCGGCTCAGAACATACAAATGCCATTGGGTCTCCCATGCCAATTATCTGAGGGAGGTCAGCACACCATTCAGCCGGCAAACTGGGAGACATCCCCGTGCTCGCTTCCCCACTGTTCCTAACCCAATAATCAGCATCGATGCTGGTGAGGTAGAGCGGGATTTGCTCTGGTCGTGCTTATGGTAACAATCTGTGCCAAGGTATTCCGCAGCTTTGCTTCAGTGATTCACCTGTAATAATTACGTCAGCCTCTTGTGTTTATAAGGCCCCTCTGCTCCTAAGTCCTGAGAAGAGCAGCAGGAAGAGAAGGAGAAAGTTATTTATTGAGGACCCGCTATATGCCAGGCCCTTTGCTAGAAAGTTCCATGTTTTATTTCCAAGCCTCATCACGATACCACAATGAAAGAACTATTTTTGCCAAGTCACAGTGGGGGAAGTTGAGGATTAGGAGGGTGTCACGAAGCTGGTGTTCAAAAGATGCTTTGCCACTTAGAAAAAGCAAAGTCTTACATGAAAAGATGTTCAACATCACTCATCATCAGGGAAATACAAATCAACACCACAATGAGATACCACCTCACACCTGTCAGAATGACTAACATTAACAACTCAGGAAACGACAGATGCTGGCGAGGGTGAAGAGAAAGGGGAACCCTTTTGCACTGTTGGTGGGAATACAAGCTGGTGCAGCCACTCTGGAAGACAGTATGGAAGTTCCTCAAAAAACTAAAAATAGAACTACCCTATGACCCAGCAATTGCACTACTAGGTATTTCTCCAAAGGATGCAAAACTGTTGATTCAAAGAGGCACATGTACCCCAATATTTATAGCAGCACTATCAACAGTACTCAAATTTATAGAAAGAGCCCAAATATCCATGGACTGATGAGTGGATAAAGAAGATGTGATATGTATGTGGATCTATATACATCCACATACATATCCACAGTGTGTAGAATATTATTTGGCGATGAAAAAGAATGATATCTTGCCATTTGCAGCAATGTGGGTAGAAGTAGAATGTATTATGCTAAGTGAAATAAATCAGAGAAGGATAAATATTATATGATTTCACTCACATGTGGAATTTAAGAAACAGAAAAGATGAACATAAAAAAAGGGAAGGAAAGAAAGATAAAAACAAAGAGGGAGGCAAACCATAAGAGACTCCTAAATCCAGAGAACAAACTGAGGGTTGCTGGAGGGGAAGGTGGGTGGGCGCATGGGCTAAATGGGTGATGGGCATTAAGGAGGGCACTTGTTGGAATGAGCCCTGAGTGTTGTATGGAAGTGATGAGTCACTGAATTATATATATATATATACATATATATGAAAAAGCAAACTCCTCTATGGCCAATGCAAAGGGCAGGCCCCTTTCAAGGTACATGGTGTGGGCAGCTCAAGCTCTTCGCAGAGTTTTGCTACGCTTTATTTAGTCCCCTTTGTTTTTACTTGATGTCCAGCTGTACTACCATGTTGAAATACTTACAGCGATCTTTATGGGAGAAGCCTGTTCAGGTCCCTGTCCTGTCAATCCATCCCATCACTCTGAGTGTTCCAGAAGGTTGTCAACAGGCCCAGAGTGTCCCTTCAGTCCAGCGAGGGCCAGATAGAATCCCCTGATGAGATGCTGGCGAAGCCTTCTCTGCCCACCCCAGCCCTCCATGCCAGGCACCAGGCTAACCTGGTGGGCAGCTGCCTCCTGTATTAAGCTCCTGGACCCTGAGAACCTCCTTTGACTTGTTTCCATCCGACCTTGTGGTTTGCTTGTGTGTAAGGAACCTGCTCACAGATGAGGCTATTAATGAAGGAAGCAGACAGAATTCTGTCTCATCTGAAGATTACATCAAACGTTAAGGATGAGTAAAATCGCCTTCTAAATTAGTCCCAGCAGTGCACGTGTGCCTGCTTGCGATCTTCTCATTCATTCTGGAAGTGCGCCCATAACTGCCTTCTGAACAGGGGTCAAGGCTCAACCTTCAGGAGAGCTCCATCTAGCGGAATTGCTTTCCATTACAAGCTCTATGCTGCCAAGGGAGTCCCTTTTGCGTTAAGAGTCTGGCATTTGCTTCTTATTTTAGGCTCTGTGACAGCAGGATGATTGGGCATTTCCTCAGTCCAAATAAGCCGAGTTAACATACCGTGGAGGTAAGCACGGTGTGTGTAGCTGGGTGTGTGAAACGGTGAGACTGTTTTAAAGCCTACTAACTTGGGTTCCACTTACTCTTGCCTAGGTGGAGCAGAGTGGATCTCTTAAACTGGGATGGAGTCTCCGGCTGCTGGGAAAGTGGTGGGGGAGGAGAGGAGAGAGCAATGCAAATGTCCTGGAAATTTCCGAATAAGATCAGGCACGGGCAGATTAAATGAATGTTGTCCTCGCAAAAACAGGCAGATGAGCTGGCATCCCGGGCTTCAGAAGCTGGCACACAGCCATCGAGAGAGGAAAATCCCTGTCTGTCCCCCGCCCCTCCAGGCTGCCATTGCAAGGAGGTCCTGAGTGTTCAAATTCTTTCTGCATCCCCTGTGGCCCAATGTCATCTGAACACAAATGACTTTAGTCCCCTCTTGCCCCTCTCCTTTAGAGGCAGCTTGCTATAATTTTATAGGGTTAGAATTTCAGGGAATTAAAAACTGCTCAGATAACCACCCACCACCCTGCCACCCTGAAACTTCTGTGAGGAGTAGTGGATTCATTTCCTGGGGCCGCCTTAATGAAGTACCACCAAGCAGTGGCTTAAAACCACAGAAATGTATCCTCTCCCAGTCCTGGAGGCTGAAAGTCAAGGATTCAGGTGTGAGCAGGGCGATGCTCTCTCTGTGCTTCCCTCCCGGCTTCTGGTAATGTTTCCGGCCATCCCTGACCTTCCTTAGCTTGTAAACAGGACCCACGAGCCTCTCTCTCCAGCACTACATGGGGTCTTCCAAGCCTCTCCTCCCTATGTGTGCCGGGGTCCTCAGCTGCTAGGACCCCGTGTGAGTGTTTCTTCCCATCTTCTTATAAAGATACCAGTCACATTGGATCAAGGGCTCAGTCTCGTCCAGCGAGCCCTCATTGGATCAGGGGCTCAGACTCCTTCAGGGTTAACTCCCATCTTGATTCTATCTTGCAAAGCTGCTATTTCCTGAGGTCACATTCACAGGTACTGGCAGTTAGGACTTTGACATATCTTTCTGGGGACACATTCAAGCCATGAGAAATAGGAAGGGACAACAGCAGGCGGAAACCACAAGACCCACACTCGTTTCAAGGGTGGGGAGGGAGCATGGAGGCCAGGACTCCTCAGAGAGGCTGGAGGTTGTTTTCTCAGGCTCCCACGGTTCCCACGCATCCAGACCTCTGTTACAGTAGGCTACAAATGCCACACCAGACAAGACCCTGACATCACTCATGGTTAATTTGAAAAGATTAGAAATATATTCTATAAAATTTTTTAATGTTTATTCATTTTTGAGAAAGGGAGAAAGAGAGTGTGTACAAGCAGGGGAGGGGCAGAGAGAGAGGGAGACAGAGGATCCCAGACAAGCTCTGTGCTGAGAGCAGAGAGCCCAATGTGGGGCTTGAACTCACCAGCCAGGAGATCATGACCTGAGCCCAAGTCGGATGCTTAACCGACTGAGCCCAGGCGCAATGTTTACATTGTAAACATGTGTCGTTTCCTTCAAAAGGCAGTAAGGGCCCATTATTTATTTGGAATGTCTCCTATTTATATTTGTCAGTAACTTACTGCCCTTTATTTTTGGTGGGTGGATAGGAAAGAAATACGACCCATTTAACATTATCTGTGCATTTCTACTGAAATAGCGTCAAGCAGAAATATGTAGAAACTTTCAATCATTTTATCTAGGATTCCCTCTTATCTACATTATTTATTTAAAAAAAAATTTAGTAAGGTTTATTTATTTTTGAGAGAGGAGAGACAGAGAATGAGTGGGGGAGGGGCAGAGAGCAAAGACACACAGAATCTGAAACAGGCTCCAGGCTCTGAGTTCTCAGCACAGAGCCTGATGCAGGGCTCGAACTCGTAGACTGTCATATCATGAGTTCATGACCTGAGCTGAAGTTGGATGCTTAACCGACTGAGCCACCCAGGCACCCCCTACTTTATCTCTTTAATAGATAATTCGGTAGAACCCATTGCACCAAAGCATAGAACATTCTTATTCGTTACATTTTTTACAATCCTGTTGCCTTGTTACTGATAATGCATGCATGTTTGCAACACTTAAGTACTGTCCTTGTAGAAAATACTTCATTCTCCTTTCACACAAACATAATAGCAATGCCTGTCATGTACCGACTGCTTCTATGTGACAGACACAGCGCTAGTTGATTTCTATGCATCATTTTCTTTAATCCTTAAAATAGGCTTATGCTGTATCGTTTCCACTTTACAGGTGAGTCAGCTGAGACTAGACAGTGGAGTGTCTTGCCCCAAACCACACTGCCATGTGGTGGTAAAACTGGGATTCAGATTCAAGCTTCTGAAAGCTTATATTGGACTACCTTCATACAGTATCTCCCACAGTCATCCTGGTAGATTTCCCTTGACCCATCTAGTTCCTTTTCCTTGCCTCGACCTTTAACTCACAAGAAGACCAGCCCAGGTTTAGGTATAGAGACAAATGCCTAATGGCCCAGACCCATTTCAATGTTCCCATATGTTGCTTTTGACCACTAGGTGGAAATACTCCTGTTTTCTCACCTCCAAAAGATCTTGAGCTTTTTAACAAACACATTTTTTAACTCATCTCCCCTCTTTGGACCCCCCAAATCCAAATGCCTATACAGCCAGAACCACATTACTGGTGAGTCAAAGCACACAGAACTGGGCCCACGGACTACCCTGCTCATCACTTTATTTAAAGTGAAAAAAAAAAATCCCACAGTGATTCCATATGGTGGTCAGTCAACAATCTACTTATATACAGTAGACCCTCTTGGCTTGGAAACTACACCAATGTGTGCTTTTGACCCATAAACAGCTATATCAATGAGCTAAGCATAATAAAAGTTATATATCTAAAGTAGGTGAAGACGGGATGAGCAACTTAAAATGGCCTTGGTAGCATTTATAAAATCACATCTAATCACTGTGGACTATGACCCTGGTATAGATGATGGATGGAGAGTAGTGTCCCTGGGAGTGTGGGCTTGACCTTATTGGACAATGTGCCAGGCGCTGTGTAAGGTACGGTGTGCACACCGGTGAACCAGATAACGTGAGCCCTGGTTACAACACAGACCGATGAGATCTGCCTGGGAGGTGTGTGTGTTTGTGTGTGTGTGCGTGCGTGTACTTCTGTGTATACAACTGATCTTTATCACTCATAGATTCCGTATTTGTGAACTCACTTACTACTAAAATTTAGTTATAACCCCCCAAATCAATACTTGTGCTTTTGTGGTCAGTTGTTGAGATGTGCAGAGCGGTCAAAAGTTTGAACCACTCGAGGTGACACATTCCCAGCTGAGAGTAAACGAGGCAAAGCTCTGTTTCCTGGTTTCAGCCCCCACACTGCAAACACATGTCCTTTTCCGCATCGATTTAGTGTCATGTTTCTTGTACTGCTTTCATGTTTTGTGTTGATTTTGCCATTTAAAATGCCCCCAGGTACAGTGCTGAAGCTCTGTCTGGTGTTCCTAAGTGCAAGAAGGCTGGGGTGTGCCCCATGGGGAACATGCGTGTACTAGAAAAGCCTTCTGCAGGCCTGAGGTATAAGGCTACTGTTGGGACCTCAGTGCAATTAATTAACAATATATATTAAATAAGGTGTCTTTAAAAACACACATGGGGCACCTGGGGGGCTCAGTCGGTTTTGCATCTCACTCTTGGTTCCGGCTCAGGTCATGATCTTGCAGTTCGTGGGATGGAGTCCCCACATCAGGATCTGCGCCAACAGCGTGGAGCCCGCTTGGGATTCTCTCTCTGCCTCTCCCCCTGCTCGTTCTCTCTCTCTCTCTCAAAATAAATAAACTTAAAAAGCAAAGAAGCACACATAAAGCGAACTTACGTACTGACCAGTTGATGAAAGATAATGTGATCCAAACTCGAAGAAAACTAACCCTGTATTTTCCCTTGGAGTAGCGGTTCCTAATTCACTGATTCAGTGTTCATGGTGAGCTTATGGATCATAACTGCCGAGAATAAGAGTTGGCCATATATTTAATACACACACAGAGTTATATTGAGTAGTAAGAGAATTCCACGTGATCCCGATGAGGGCTGGCCTCTATAAGAATCAGTACAGCTGCCCAGCAATGTCTCAGATGCGCCCGTGCACAGAGATGGGAGGAGGAACATGGATTAAGGCAATTACACTAGGCAACAAGAAAAGTTACTAGATTAAATGCTGTTAGATTTACAGAGGACTTCTGATTTGTAGATCAAATAGTCTAATCTTTGCATCTTTCATTTAAGGCTGGAAGGTTGAGAGAAGAAAAGGGAAGGGGGGAAAGCCCAGGAGTGTCCCGCACACGCACGAGGGGATGGAAGGACTGAGAAGGGCCGACTTCTGATCCCACGAGGGGCTGAGAAAGAGCAAGACTAATCACGTGATGATGACCATAGATGCTAACATGTTCTTACCGTTTCTCTGTTAGTTTTCAACCTCTCCCTGACTTTTCCCGCCCTTGCCTGCACTAAATTGCCTTGGATGATTTCAAAAATGTTTCTAACCTTATTTGGAGTTGGCGGGGAGCAAGAAAAAATGCCCAGAGAGGGAGGGGGGGCTCCCTGCAGTGCCTGAGTGAGGAGAAGGAAGCCTGGCAAAGGGTAGATGGGGCATCCAAGAAGAGCAGCCCATCAGTCCAGGGACCTACTGAAAAGAGAAACAAGGGTTATCCCCACAACACAGACGTTGCTCTAAGACAGAGCCCACAGGCAGATGGTCCCTACGGCCATCCATCCCAGAGGGACCTGGACCTTTTAAGAACCATGTCAGGAAGTTTCAAAGACTACAGCAACTGGGGCTTGTGAGAAAAATGTGAGGTCAACTCCGAGCGCTGTGTTGGTCTATCTGAGCCACAGCACCAGGAAGACACCTCAAGGCCCGAGGGAGAGTGTAGTGTCAACGCCTGCTGGAAGGCATACAGCGCTACTCAGAACTAGTCAATAACACTTTTGTTTCCATATCACAGAAAATGATCTTTCTACTGGGAAGTGGAAAATAGAAATAAGCCCAGAGATATGAAACCCAGAGAGGAAGAAGCCAACAGCTTGTCCTGAGCACACAAGAGCAAGAGCCAGCTCTTCTGAGCTCAGAAGAACGAGTTTCCAGGGACTGGAGGCCTTTGAGGGGTGGTCTGAAGAGCCAGAGCCACGAGAGAGAAGTGACAGCTCTCAGTGACAAATCTGATGTCATGACTTAAGAGAAGGGAGGAAAGTAGAATGTGAGATGTAGAGACAGCTGAGTATTAATTCCTGGCTGAAGGTTACAATCTGCCATTACTGGGCATGAGCACTAACAATAGGTGGTGACAAACTAACCACATTTCCCTGTTTTATAGGATCGCAATTATATTAGCCAATCTTGGGCAATCCAGAGAGCTCATGTATGTGGATCTTGGCCAAGGTTCTCATGGCTGGAGAGAGGCTGGCGAAATGTGAATTGGAAATCATCACATCTCAACAACCATAGCCTGGAAGTTCACCTGATCAACAGCATAGGCTGGCTGGTGGCAAAGCTCCCTCCCAATTCCAAAATGCAGGAGAAGTGGTGGGATGCCAATTTTTTTGAGCAAGAAGTTGCTAACTTACTACATTTCTACTACTGCCTTTGGTACTGGGAATACAAAGATGCATTTCTTCTTTGAGTGAGCTCGGGTCTCAAAAAAATTAATCCCAGTAATTCCACTAAGTTTCCACTCGAAAACTTGTATATATGCTTTCCTAACATATTTAGCCAGAAGGGGGAAACAAGGTGTACCTGGTGCAGGTAAGACAGCCTCTAGCACATATGCTGTTAGGCTCCGTGTAAGCCTGCTTTAGCCATATAGAAATGGTTAGGTTTCCAGAAAGTGTGGTATAACTCCCATTCTCTCAGACCAAATGTGCACACCTCTCCCCTATGAGGACTTTATGAATTAAATCTGGGCTGTGGCTACTTAAATTTAAATTATTTGGTGACACATGGTGACTACACTGAGTAAGGTATAGAATTGTTGAATCATTATGTTGTACACCTGAAACTAATAGAACGCTGCATGTTCATTACCCTTCAACTTAAACATTGAAATTATTTGGGGCGCCAGAGAGGCTAAGTTGGTTGACTGTCCAACTTCAGCTCAGGTCATGATCTCACGGTTTGTGAGTTCGAGCCCCAGATCAGGCTTGCTGCTGTCAGTTTGCTGCTGTCTGCTTCTCTCTCTGTCCCTCCGCTGCTCACACTCTCTCTCAAAAAATGAATAACCAGGGGCGCCTGGGTGGCTTAGTCGGTTAAGCGTCCGACTTTCGCTTAGGTCATGATCTCGCGGTTCGTGGGTTCGAGCCCCGCGTCGGGCTCTGTGCTGACTGCCAGCTCAGAGCCTGGAGCCTGTTTCAGTCTGTGACTCCCTCTCTCTCTGACCCTCCCCTGTTCACGCTGTCTCTCTCTCTCTCCTAGAAATAAATAAAAATATTAAAAAAAAATGAATAACCATTTATTAAAATATATATTTTTAAATTGTTTACAATTAAAGAAAATTTAAAAATCATTTGCTCAGTGGCACTAGCCACATTTCAAGGGCTCAATAGCCATATGTGGCTAGTGGTTACCATATTGGACAGCACAGATTCAGAACATTTCCATCATCTCAGAAAGTTCCGCAGGACAGTTCTGACCTAGAAGTTCACACCTCCACCTTTGAAAGCACTTCCGATTTTTCCCAGGTATCCTAGCTGAGTTCACCTACCGCTTGATCCTTTACAACTAAAATCCTGTGGATGTCCTACAGACCATCTCTGCTCCTTGGCGTGGTCAGAATTTTGAGCCTGTTGTTAAAATTTGTCAGCACAAAGTGGAACATCATGCTTCATTTCTTAAGTGGTGGCTTCTCTGACGTTTCTGCCAATTTTATATTTTATGCATCACATTTCCTTTTCTAAGTCGTCGTGATGAATGAAAGCCTGTCAGGGTTTGGAGACAAATGTAGGAAAACTGAAGAGAACTGTGACAGAGAAGCATTAGCTGGAGGACTGGGTGCTGACTGGGCTGACTTTGCCGGGCTGGCCATTAGGCAGACCTGGACCTGAGGCTGGTTATTAATGAGGGGATCATTCATGATCAAGGGGCTGTGACAGCAAGCATTACAAGCCAGAGCCCACTTGACACACCTTAATCGTCGCAGTCAGTATAATTGATTTCAAAGTCCTTATGGCTTGATATTCAGATAAATTGACACTTTATGGAGCCACACCCACATACGGTTTCAGACTAGAGTGGAAAACCCACAGTCCTAGCAGAACTTGCTCATGGGGAAGATTTTTTTCCTGTTTCTGCCTCTGTCCAAGGACCCCTAATAAAACATCACAGAACAGAAACCAATTTCTCCAAGTGATTTTCCAGAGAGTGAACCCTGCTCTCCTGAAAGTCTCAGGGCTTGCTTTTTTTTTTTTTTTTTTTTTAAATGTTTTAGTTATTTTGAGAGAGAGATGGAGGGGGAGGGGGAGAGAGGTGTGGGAGAGAGAGAATCCCAAGCAGGCTCCACACTCAGCCCGATGCGGGGTTTGATCCCGTGACCGTGAGATCATGACCCGAGACAAAATCAAGAGTTGGACGCTTAACTGACTGAGCCACCCAGGAGCCCCTCCTAAAACAGAACTTTTGAGTATTTTGGTTAGTCAAATAAAGGCACTGATACTGCCCAGGCAATTCCCAGAGGAGCCTCATGGAGGCTGTTTCTGGGAGATTTTTCCTCCAAGAGAGAACTCTGGTTTGCTCAGACACCTAGAATCACCCTGAAAGAGCACAGGAGAATATTCTTGGAACAGGTTTGGCATCAGGGCATGCGCTAGCCTGGTTACCTGATAGTTATTACACATCATGTTTGCAGGAAGGTGCCAGCATGCCAAGTGCATTTAAATGAATATTCAGAAATGCGACTGGTGTGGTAAAGAACAGACTTTGGCAGAAGCAGTTGTGGGGCCCTTGACAATTACAGCTGAGGAAATATACTGAGATGGGTGGGGCAGAAATTACGAAGTAACCTTCCAACTTGACATTTTTTAAATTTCATATTTTCCAGCATAGCAAAGGGGAAGACGGACTGCTGTCACAGTCAAGGGTGTCCCTCACTATATCAAGAGGCCAAAGTCACAGTGCATACCAGATGCAGGAGAGATAAGCAAGCAGATGCGGGTGCTGGCTGGTCTCTGCAGTAAAGGCAAATTCTTCAGGCCAAAGTTTCCAGTGTTTTATGAGATATAAGATGGCAGAGGGGAGCTGGGTGGCTCAGTCGGTTAAGTGTCTGACTTCAGCTTAGGTCATGAGTTCGAGCCCCGTGTCAGGCTCTGTGCTGACAGCTCAGAGCCTGGAGCCTGCTTTGGATTCTGTGTCTCCCTCTCTCTCTTCTGCCCCTCCCAGGCTCACACTCTGGCTCTCTCTATTAAAAATGAATAAATGTTAAAAAAAAAAAAAAAGATAGGAGGGGGTTAAAGACATGGGATCAATCCTTCATTCAGGCATTCACTCATTCATTCAATTGTTTATTCAATTGCTTATTTGTTTGTGGGAGACTGAAAAATTTCCCCCTCTTAAAGCCCTCCTTCCTTCTGCCCTGCCCCTGTGGGGAGATGGTCTTGGAAAGACTGATGAGCTAGGCAGACATACTCAACATGATAATACACGTTAGCGGTCAATCCTGGTGAGAAGGGCTTGTCTTGTTCAGGTCCTGCTCTGGGGAACCGGAAAGTTTTATGACTTGTGCGGTGGAGGGCAGGAGAAGGGACCTAGTTCTGCCTTCCTAGATGGTGTAGGATGAACGTTCCTCATGATCCTGTAGAATGGAGCCAGGACCCTGAGGAAGGGGTGGGGAAGGAAGGGGGAAAGGAGAGGGAGCAGAGAAAGCAGGGACCCTCTCAGGAGCACATGGAGGAAAGCTCTGAATGGGGGGGCGGGGACGCTGAGGGAGAAGTAAGGCAATGTCTGGCCCCATCTTCTGAAAGCATGTGTGTTTCTGATTGTCCAGAAATAAGAATGTTTTCTTTCTGGTAATGGACTGATCAGTGGCCCTCAGACCCTGTGGGAGGGAAGCTTAAGGCTAATCAAGGACTTGTTCATCCATAGGTCCTTGGAGGCCCTTTGTGAAGAACCTTAGAAATTTCACAATGGGATCATCTCTAGCACCTGCCTGTAGGGACTGACTATCTATTGGGAAGGAAGGACTCATGAGTGAACAAATGGACACAGCAATGAGAGAAAGAAGCAAATAATCGCTAGTATATGCCAGGCACCTGTGACAACACTGGGCTCCCTCAAGAAGATTCCATGAACAGGTGTTTTACAGCTAGGTTCTAAAATATCTTAGTAAAATTTTCTTGCTGGTAGGCAGAATAATGGTCCCCCAAATGCCCACGTACTAACTCCTGCAACCTATGAATATGTTACTTCTCATGGCAGAAATGACTATGCAGATGTAATTCAGTTAAGGATCTGGAAATGGGAAGATCATCCTGGATTATCCGGATGGGCTCAGTGTAATCACAAAGGTCCTTAGAAGTGAGAGAGGGAGGCAGGAGACTCAAGAGTTAGGGGAGATTGGGCAACAAAAGCAGAGGTAGGGGTGATGCCATTTCTGGCTTTGGAGATGGAGGAAGGGCCATGAGCCAAGGAATGTGGACAGTGTCTAGAAACTGAAAAAGGAAAAGAAACAGATTCTTCCCAGGTCTCCAGGAGGAACGGTCAACACCTTGATTTTAGCCCAATGAGACCCATTTCAGATTTCTGATCTCCAGAACCGGAAGATAATACATTTGTGTTGTTTTGAACTGTGTCTGCGGTCGTTTGTTATAGCAGCAATGAGACACTGATACGCCTCCCTTTAACCAGATGACCTAAAGTCTTGATGAGAAAAGTAAAAAGGATGGATTTCTTTCATTCACATTAGAAATATAAGATATTATCTTAGGAAGGCAAAACAAAGCATGAATAACATATAGGATGTAGGTTCCCCCCCAATAAGTGGGATTCTTACCTGTTAATGCTCTGTTTTTGGAGCCTGAAAGTATGCAGGGGGAGCCCTGTCCTGCCCAACACCAGCCAAAGCAACACCCCACATGGATGGACTGGACCTCACCCTTCCTTCCTGCTGTGCCCACATTCAGCTGCACTTTGCCCACACTCGCTCTACTGGTGAGTCTCCGGGGAGCCCGGCCTCTCCCCAGGGAGCTCCTCTTAGGAGGTCACTGTCAAAGCCCCTCTTCCGAAGAACTGGTCAGCAGACTTTTGCTAGGCTAGATGATAGAGGCCCCTTCACCCCCAGCCAAGGATGGGTTATTTAAGCATTCGTTTTATTTATCTTTTTAAAACATTTTTTGCATTTATTTACTTATTTTGAGAGAGAGAAAGCCTGTGCACAAGCAGGAGAGGGGCAGAGAGAGAGAAGAAGAATCCCAAAAAGGCTCTGTGCTGACAGTGCAACATGGGGCTTGACCCCATGAACCATGAGATCATTACCTGAGCTGAAATCGAGTCAGACACTTAACGGACTGAGCCCCCCAGACACCCCTAAGCCTTGGTTTTAGACCTGTGTGGCCCCACGCTTTCTGGAGGTGCTGTAGAAACCTGCAAGGTCTCCTGGAGCAGAACCCTCATGACAGACTTCAAATGTTCCCAAGTGACAGGACCATGCAACTGCGAAATCAGCTGTGTCTTACTTGCAGCTATGAGCTCGTGTGACAGAAATGAAGATATTTTCCCCAGCCTAGTCTCAGGGCCCTAGAGGGCTGGGTTTCTCTAATTTTGTTAAAACTTTAATTTTCAAAAGTCTGGGCCACAGAGCTCAATTGTCCACTGAGGAAAGGGTCTGTGCTTGTAACAAATGACCACAAACTTGAGGCTTAAAATGACACAAATTTACCCAAAGAAAACAAAACACCAATTTGAAGAGATACCTGCACCCACGTGTTTAGTGCAGCAGTATTTACAATCACCAAGATATGGAAGCGGTCCAGTGTTTACCAATAGACAGATAAGGAAGATGTGTACACACACACACACACACACACACACACACTGAAATATTACTCAGCCATAAAAAGGAATGAGATCTTGCCATTTGCAACAACATGGACAGATCTAGTAGGTTTTATGCTAAGTGAAATAAGTCAGACTGAAAAAGACAAATACTATATGATCTCATTATAAGTGGAATCTAAAAGAAAAATAGATGAATAAACAAACAAAAAGCAGCATCATACTTACAAATACAGAGAGCAAGCTGATGATCACCAGAGGGAAGGAGATGGTGGGTGGGCAAAATGAGTGGAGGGTAGTGAAAGGTACAGGCTTCTGTCCAGTTATGGAATAAGTCTTGGGGAATGAAAAGCACAGAGTAAGGAATATAGTCAATGGATTCTGTGTCCCCCTCTCTCTCTGCCCCTCCCCCACTCACACGCTGTCTCTCTCAAAAATAAACATTAAAAAAAAGGAATCTGGTCAATGATATTGTAATAGTGTTGTACGGTGCCAGGTGGGCTACACTTGTGGCACCGAGAAGTCACTACTGAACACCTGGAACTAATGTAACATTGTGTGCCAGCTATACTTAAATTAAAAATAATAAAATAAAATAAAATAAAAAATAAAGTAAAATAAAATAAATGACACAAATGTATTTCACAGTTCTCGAGGTCAGAAGTCTGAAATGGGTCTCACTGGGCTAAAATCAAGGTGTCGACTGGGCAGTGTTTCTTTTGCAGCCTCCAGAAGGTTTCCTCCCCTTCTAGAGGCCGCCCGAGTGCCCTTGTTCATGCCACTCCCGAATCTGCTTCCATCAATCCCCTTCTTTACTGTAGTCAATTCTCCATTGCCCAGCCTACCAAGAGGCCATGGGGGACTGAGAGAGTGAGGAGTGGTCTGGGCCCTGACACAGGGGCTAGGTCCTGCCGGCCTGACTGGGTGGATTTTTCCGCCTCCACTTCCTCTGCAGCCCCCTGCTGGTGCCAGAACTTCTGACGGGGTGACCAGGCAACCACACCCAAAGCCGTGAGGCTAAAGATCTCTGTGTCCAAGTTTGCTCAGGAAGAACATGGCCGCCCACCTTCCAACAGTGCCCAGAAGCTGGCACGGTTCACCTGTGTAGGCCCACAGGATCGTTCAGGATGGTCTAAAAACCAAAGGCCTTTCCCCACATTTTCTGGACACACTCACAGCATCCTAGGGAAGCAGAGGGGCGGCCACAACCTGCTGATAGTGCATTCTTGGTATTCTTGTCAAGTGGAGGCCAAATTCTTCTCCAAGGTCCCTGCTCCTAGTTCACTCCACCAGCGGTGTAAGAAGGGTCTGTGCCTTTGTTTCTTTGGACAATTGATATTGTTAGAGCTGCTCAAATTTTACCAAACTGCCAGGTGTGTAAGAATATATCATCATCCACCAAGACTTTGCATGTTCTTGGTGAAAAATGACATTGGGCAGCTTGGCACACGTGTATCAACTATTTGGATTTTCTCTTTGGTGAAGGGCCTATGTTGGGGTGTTTTGCTTATTTTTAAAATTTGCTCTTTTTCTTATTTTCCCACTGCTAGAAGTCCTTTGTGTATTTTGAATACTATGTTAGTTGCATGTATTTCAAACATTGTCTCCCACTCTGTGGTTTCCATTTGTTCTCTCTTTGTGGTGTCTTTTGATGAAGAGAAGTTGCTGAATTCACCAGTCTTTTCCTTATGCTTAGTGCCTGTTGTCTTCTTTCTGAAATCCTTCCCGATTCTAAGGTCATGAGAATATTCCGCTTTATTATTGTTTAAAAATGTTATCATCTCATGCATTTTTAACCAGTTCTCTTGTTTTCAGCCACACCTTCCTTCTTTCAGAAGCTCCAGGTGCCTGACCTCTCTGAGATTATGAAACACCACAGACCTGCCTCTTGGTTTCGCCCAATACCACAAAAGAAAGCATGGTAAGTCCATGCAATTGAATAGCACGTACCATGTACAACATTGTATTACGTAGAAGCAGGCCAGTGAGGTGGGTAAGAACACAAGATTCTGACACTCACCAGCTGTGTACCTCTCTATCCCGCAGCTTCCCCATCTGTAAAATGAGATAACCATATATAGAGATGTTGTGAGGATTAAGAGTTGATATATGTACAGTAAGATGAACAACTGTAGGTATTTAGTCAGGAGTACATAAGAGTGATTATTGTTTAAAAAAAAGAGAGGGATTATTGTTATTAATAAAAGAATGAAGTAGATTTATACCCAGAAGAATAGAAATCTCTCCAAGGTATATTATTAAGTTAAAAAAAAAAAAAAAGCAGCAAGGTGAAAATCATGTATAAGAGAGAAAAAAAAACCTGTAAGAAAAAGAGTATGACCACACTTTAAAAAGAACTAACGTGCATCCATATATGTGCTGAACGTTTAGGAAAGGATACTATAGAAACTATTAAGAGAGGTTTTCTTGGGGTAGAAGGTGAAAGGGACTTTATTTAACGTCTTTTGGTACTCCTTGATTTTTTTTTAGCATGTGTTTTACTGTTATCATTAAAAACAAGCAGATTAAAGTGTAGATAATTGTTGAAACTGGAGATTAGTTACAGTATCTCTACTTTTATGTATGTTTGAAATCTTCCAGAATAAAAAAATTCGTAAATAAATTAAAGCAACAACAAGTATCTTCGTCAGGCACTGCAAAATCCCATGTTGAGTATTTGCATGGCGTGAAATAATTCCTTGAGGAAAGTTTCCTTGTCAAGCTGCATGGGGCCAAGCCCACGGAGACAGACAGGAGCCATACGGTAGAGAACCATTTGTTCCAGAAGAAAGCTACTGAGCTCATAGTACTATTGTAGGGTAATTTTTAAAAACCATTCTGAAAAATGTCAAGGCCCTAAAATGTTTTCTAGACATCCTGGTGTTCAATTTCTGGAGCCTATCAAAGACAGCCTTTTTAGGGAACCCCTAGCTTTCTCTGCAGTTAACTACTGCCACAATGACCTTCCATCTGAGTGAGAACACAGATTAACTTCTCGATTCCCACTGAAGGTCATGATCCCACCATCTGCTTACTTGGTTTCCAAATCATATGCATCAACCCTTGTACAGCAAAATATAGGATCAAGCATTATATACTCTCACCAATAGGTTCAGTTTAAACTATCGTTTACCCACCTCTTCACTCTGGGTGGGAAAGGTGGTCAACGCAGACAATTGCCTATGTAGCATGTGCATTCTGTTTATTCCTAAGTATTCTGAATTCCCTTCGATCAGATTGGAACACCAGAAGCCTTGATACTTGAACTAAATCTGATTAGCTCATCATAAGATTATCTTTATCTAATGTTGCTGCAAGAAATGGCCACATGAAATTTATTTCCTCACTTGCTATAAGATGATATTCATGTTATCTGAAAGTTTATTTCCGAAATTGGGGCCCAGAAAATTTTCCTATACCACTATGAAACTGAAGGGATTTTTTCCCGATATTGAAAATCACATAGTTTCAGCATGTGTCTCATTTTTTCAAGCTCTTGGGAAGCTCGGATCCACAAGCTCCTGTCAGTCACAGCAACTCTGTTACCCCAGATAATGTGCTTTCATTCTCCTCGTTCCTAGTTCTTTATTTGCCATTTCTAAATTTTGTGTATGTCTGTTATTGTCTCTCTGCATCATTTTTTAATAGATTATATCCCACACAGGTACACATTTCTTTGGGCAACTGGGGACTTGATCTCTTTCTTCTGGCAGGATAATTAGGAATGGTTTCATGAAGACATAGCATTTGAACCAAGTCGTTGGGGATAGGAAGTTTTGACAACTTCCGACAGAAGAAACAGTATGAGTAAAGAAGTGATGGAAAGAATGGACAGCCCATATTTGAGAAATGGTAGGATTTGGTTTGGTCAAGACGTGAGGTATAAAAGATAAATAGAAACCCAGCTGGAAAGATGGCTACACCCAGCTCAGTAGGAACTCACAGGTTAGGTATTACAGCATAAGAGAAGGATTTTTTTTCTCCAAAATAAGGGAAACTACCATATATATTACAGGCAGGGCATAGATAGCATCAAGACAGAGTATAAAGACAAAAGTAAAAGGACAGGACTGCTACAGCAAGGTCCCAGCTGTGATGGCTTTGAAATGGGACTAAAAGCACCTGCAGAGAGCCTGACCTTGGAAGGAACATAGAAGGAGAGAGTGACATTGAGCCTACAGGCCAGGAGCCAGGCTCTCCCCCAAACTCTGTTGCTAAGGATGTTCAAGTCATTCTTTTCTTTAGGAGTCCCTTGGTAAGCATAAATCAAACAGTATCACACACTTCACCATGGCATTGAAGTGAACTCCTGCCTGATAATTCATGAAGGAAGGTCTTTTGTTTTGGTTTTGTTTTAACAGAAGAATTCCAGCCAATAACTTCGGAGAGGATAATGAAGTTTAATAATGAGCATTTCGCTGCTTTGAACTAGTGGATCTAGGCTACATTCATTGGTGGATGCTGCAAATAGCAGGTGAGCCTTTGAGGGCAGAAAGGATAAAGACAAAAGGCTTTCTAATGAAGTGATCTGTCTGATTGGCTGGATGATCTAGGACAGATAGGCATTGGGAAACATGGCATTGGTAGAAATAACGTACCTGGTGACAAACAATATGTAGAATGTACCACCATTAGGAAGAATGCTTGCCTAAAATAATGGAACCTGAATCAAATCTCAACTCAAGATGTAAATTTCATTCTACAGGAGAAACAGTAGAAGAAGGAACTGGTTAAATGACACCCTGAGGCAGCAACTGGCCAAGTCTAAACTGTGCAAATTCTACGGGACAAATAACCCATTTTCAAACAGATCAATGGCATTGTTTTTAAAAAGTGTGTAACAGAATAGAATAAAAGGGGTTAGGAGGCACTCAAATCAAATGCAATGTATGAATCTTATTTGGATCCCAAACTGAATAAAGCAACCTTAAGAGGACATTTTTAAGACAAAGAAGTTTGA